AACCTAGAACAGATCATGGATGTCTATTCTATTAACATTTCTACATCTGGAGAATGGGGCTGTCCCCTGCCTGTCTTTGTTTAGGGCCCCATAGTTCCTAAATCCGCCCCTGCCTGCCTCCAGCTTGTCTCCATGGGAACCAGCGGCTCCATCATGACAGGATGCAGCTGTTGGTTTTGTTCATCGGCGGCCGGAAGTCGGTGCCTTTGGGGAAGGTCTCCCTGCGCCTGCGGAGCGCCGGGCTCAGGCGGCTGGGCAGGTTGACCTGCTGCAGCAGCTCCTTGAACACCTCCACCACGTTGGTGTTCTCCTTGGCAGACGCCTCCAGGTAGCTGCTGTTCCAGTCCATCTCCACGGTGGCCAGCACGCTGTCTGCGGGCACCAGGCGCTCCTCCTCCCGGTCCGCCTTGTTCCCCACCACCACGATCGGAGTGTACTTGTCCTCCTTGATCTCCAGGATCTCCTCCCGGAGACTCTTGAGGGCCTCCAGGGACTCGGGGTCATCCACGGCGTAGACCAGGGCGAAGGCGTCGCTGTTCTGGATGGAGAGTTTGCGCATGGCGGGGAAGGAGTAGCTGCCGCTGGTGTCCAGGATCTCCACGGTGACTTTCACCCCTCCGATGTCGTACTCCTTGCTGTGCAGCTCCTCCACGGTGCGCCTGTGTTTCACCTCGAAGGTGTCCTGCAGGAAGCGTTTGATCAGAGCCGTCTTACCGACCCCCGCTGCCCCCAGAAACACCACGCGCACCTGCGTCTTCTCCTTCACCTCCAGAGACATGATCTCTGCTTTTCCTGCTGAAGAAAAGTCCAGCAAAGCTTCTCTGATCTCTTTCCTGATCCTTTCACACCTGCAGATCACTTTTCCTCCTCGATTTAACTTTTAATTTATTTCAGTTTTGGGGCCACTTTCTGCTCCTTCTTCTCCATCCGCTGCTCTGCTGTTCTTTATCCAACAGCTTCCCACACTTTAGTTTTATGCCTGCTTCCCAGGCGGAGCAGCCAATCACAGCGAGGCAGCCTGTTGAACTGCTCTGAATGCAACATGTTCAGCCAATGGCTGCAGAGCATGCAGACCCATGGAGAGGGAGGCGATCTGACAGCGAATGATGTGCATTAAAACTGCAGCTTGATTATAATTTCAAACATCCTATCGGTTCTGGCAGCACAGAGACATATATCTACAAATAAAAGGTTTTCAACATTAGGAGGATTAACTGCTTTGCAGCTTTTCCTGAAAATAGGGGCGGATTTAGGAAATGTGGGGCCCTAGGCAAAGACAGG